TCTCTCTCTCTCTGTGTGTGTGTGTGTGTGTGTGTGCGCGCCCCGCCCAGCCTCCATTCTGAGGACCCTATACTGATGAACCATTTGCTAGTGGCAGTTAGAGGTGCCTTGGTGAAGACCTCGTGTGATCCCCATGCGAAGCCGGTCTTCCAACAGTGAGTAGTCTCCTGAACCTCCTCAGGAAACGCAAAGACTTGCCACTTGCAATCACTTTTCAGTGTTGGGGGTGTTAAACCGCAAGTACACGGCCCCAGCCTTGCAGGAAGTTTTTGTCGCCACAAGCAAAACTTGGAGGGGCTGCGTGGCCAGGCCCGCCGTTGAAAAAAAAATTGGCGGCCTCTGAAGTGGTGCGGGTTTCGTGCAGACACCCGCGGCCCGATGTGTGGTGTACTGGTGCTGTTACCTGGGGCTGAAAAGTGGGGGTCCCTGTTAACCAACCACTTGTGTTTCTAGCATACTGCCACTGGTGGTAAAGAGTGTGTGGGTCTGAATGGGAAGGGGTATGAGGGGATTAAAATTTTAAACTGGTTTGATGGGGTGCATTGTGATGTACAGAAATTTTATTGTTCTTGTTCATGTTTTATCTGGAATGTGATTAAGGGATTCTAAGGTGGTCCTCGGCCAGCCATTGTTGGTATAGCAAACACAACACTGCTTTTTTTTTCTTTTTGAGGATTGTTTTCTTTTTTGTTGTTGTTGTTTTTTTCTTTTTTTTAATCTTGCACACCCTGATATCCTTATAAGACCCGCACATTGCTAGGCGAGAACTGTGTTTGGCGAGCACTGTTTGAAATGTCGGCGAGAGTCGTGCCGATGGTATAAAAGGCACATTGTCAGGCAGTCTTCTAGTGATTCCTTACCTAGAATTATGTCCCTAACCTTGTCCTTCAGGACATCCGTCAAAATTGGAGGGATACAGACTCATTGCGGAGAAGGTTAGCATGGCCCCTCTGCTAGGACGGGACCAATTAATTGAGAAAAGGTCCATTTTTTTTGGGAAATTTTTCAAAAAGAGACTACAGACCATGGAAGAACTGCACAGCGTGGCCCAAGCAGGGGAGCTGGCCTTCTTGGAAAACAAACCAGCATGAGAGGAGGCACAAAATTCTGAAGCAGAGGGAGGTTCGGAGGAAAAGGGGGAAGATGCAGTTCAGGGAAGTAAGACCGATTCAAGTAGTAAGGGAACGAGGGAGGAAGAGATGGGAGAGGATGAGGGAGACAGGGTCATTGAAGGCGAGGGGAAGAGGCTGAGAATCATTAGCCTTTCTTAAGAGAAAAATCAGTGACAGGGAATCAGTGAAAGGGGATAGCTCATATCAAGGGCCAAAGAGATCACATTCAGGGAAGGGAACAGATGAAGCTTCCTCAAAGGGGGATCAGGAGCATAAGGCAGATATGAAAGAAGAAGGACAGGGGGAACAGGGATCTCAAGGGGAAGAAATGGAAATTACAGCTTTTTCAGACGACACGTCCGCATCAGCCTCAACGGACCAGCAGGCAGAATATGGGCCTTCAGTTGGTCGAACCAGATCTACAAACAGATCATCTTCTGGGGATACGGAGAACACAGCAGAGGCTTCGAGGGGGGAGGAGGACGAAGGAACAGGGAAAATGTCACAAGATTCAGATACAGATTTGGAAGGGGACAGTGACAAGGGGGAGGAGGAATGGGAGGAGGAAGAATCGAAGGAGGAACCGGAGACGCTAGCACAGTGGATCAAGCATGTTCACAAGCTGAAGTGGGAGAGACATATTGAATGCGAGATTTGTCTGGCACACCATAAGCATCTGCGCAATTTGAAACAAGCCACAGCAGCAGAGGAAAAGAGGCAGGCAGCGATTTTGGAGGCACAAGTCGAGGTTCTCAGGGATCAGAACAGGGAATTGGAAGAAGACACTAAAAATTTGCAAAAAATAGCCTACACTCCACACGCAGACATCAATGCAGCGGCCAAATTGTATGCAAGACAGGACCCAGGTAAGAGATCATTCTGCCCTACAGATGGAACAGCAGCAACGCTGATTGGGAGGTGGCCATCCAAAGGTCTCTGGCACTAATTACAGCGAAGGACAGTCATTGCGAGTTTGCGATATTGAAGGAACGTATCACAAAAGATCTGCCCTCTCAGGCACATGTTATCTGGGATCTCAAGCACGATAGGGAAGAGTGGGAAGACGTATCACAAAAGATCTGCCTGGCAGGCACATGTTATCGGGGATCTCAAGCATGATAGGGAAGAATGGGAAGATGCGGCGGGTGCAGTGCACATGATGGACTACAGGCCAGTCGTGATCAAGCTGTAGGAAAAGGCAGTGTTGGATGAGGGATTGATCTGGATGCCATGGCAAGTGGTAAAGACAATCCCGTATGGATTGCTGGGGGGTTCGGAGGCGGCAGAATGGGTGGCAAGGGGAGCGGCCATAGTGACCAAAAGTGACGTATTTGCATGGCAGCCGGACTACATTGACGGAAAGATCGAGATCCTGGCTACGACAGTAGAGTGGACCCAGGTAGGATCTTGAATAGGATGTTCGTAAAGGGTCAAAAAAGACATCATAGATCATGGATGTAGAAGTGAGAGAGGGAGTGTATAAACGAAGAAGGACAACGGATACTTCAAAACGTAGGGAGTCGGACCTTAGGGTCATGTCGTGGAACATCAATGGGATGGTACAGATTTTGGAAAACAAAGATAAGTGGGACAACGTAGTGAGGTACTCAAATTGGTTTGGGAAGACACCGCCATAATTCTTATGCTTGCAGGAAACTCACCTTACGGACTCATGAGAGGGTCAGAACATTCAACAGCGTATAGTAAGACAACGAAGGTGGGTTAAGGAAGTTTTTGGGCAGTAGCTGGCAGGTCAGATTCAGCAGGCGTAGTAATTTTATTGAATAAAAGATCGCTGGCTGTAGATAGAATAATAGTACAGGAAGTCGTTTGTGGATGAAGACGAAGGTCGGTGGATAAAGCTTAATTTTACCTATCACAATGGACAATTTATGCTCATTACAGTCTATTGTCCTAACGGAGTACATCAGCGGTCAGAGATGACAGATAAGCTACAAAACCACATAGACCTGTCTAGACATCTCATATTGGTTGGGGATTGGAATGCTACCTTGGACCCTAATAGAGACAGACTACTAGGCGGAAGGTCAGGGTTAGGGGAAGGAGTGATGTGGGACGAAGCCCTATCTATTCATAACCTGATGGTGGCTAGAGATTTGGTAGACCCATTTAGACTTCAACAGCCAGAAGGGAAGCAGTTCACGTATTACAAAAGGAATCGTAGTCAACATATTTCAGCATCTAGGATAGACTACTTCCTCATATCACAAGACACTGTGGGATTATTACACTCGGTGGGAGTAGGGGACTTACCATACTGTACGTGTCTAGATCATAAACCTATATTTCTTAACTTCATTATGCACAAACATGTCCACAGAGGAAGGAATTTCTATAAGGTTAATAATTCGTTCTTAAGAACTAAGGAGTTGAGGGAAGCTATTCTGCAAGTTTGCCTAACACACAATCCGGACACACAATCTTTTTTGGACCTCATAGAATCCTTGTCAGCAGCGACGTCAACATTAGCTAGACAGCTGGCTGCAAGACGAGTGGCAAGGGAAAGTGAATTGCAAAAGGCATTGCGTATAGCAGAAAGGAATCTAATTAATAACCCAGAATCGGAGAGGTACGAGGGAATAATAGAAGTAGCAAGAAACGAATTGGGTGACTGGGAGAGATGGAGGGCTAGGGGACTGCAGTTGAGAGCGAGAGTGAAAGAATGGGAGGAGGGGGAAAGGATGACAAAATACTTCTTTCAAAAGATTAAAGCAAGAGGAAGAAACAAGTTAATAGAGCAGTTGGAAGGTCCGCAAGGAGTGGTTTCGGATCCGGAAGGGATGCTTTCGGTGGCTTATGACTTCTACAGTGCATTATACACTTCAAGGGAAGGAGACTACACTTCTCATCAATTGAAGGAAGTCAGAAATAAGTTTCTATCATACTTGGATTGTGCAGTGAAGAGGGAGCATGCGGAAAATTTGGACGCCCCTCTGTCTTAAGAGGAATTGAGGGAAGCCCTACAGTCTATGCCTCGTAACAAGACGCCGAGAAGGGATGGATTGTCTAAAGAATTTTGGCTGGAGTTTTGGCCTATACTAGGAGGAGAGTACGAATCCTTTCTCAATCAAGAAAGAAGGCTTGGGGTTAGAGTCGGTGACAGGCATTGTTACTCTGCAATATGAGAAGGGAGACCCTAGGGATATTAAAAATTACAGACCAATTACATTGTTGACTCTTACTCACAAGATTGTGGCTAAAGCACTAGCTAACCGCCTAAGGAAAGTTACAGAAGGTTGTTTTCACATAGATCAAACTGGTTTCATTCTCGAATATTTATTTTGGATAATCTTATGACTTTGTCAGAATCGGTAAGGTACATTACGAATAAGAGGATAAACGCAGCGATCCTCTTCTTTGACTTCGAAAAAGCATATGATCAAGTTAACTGGAACTCTCTACAGCAATGTATGGAGAAGATGGGTGTGGGTCCTAACTTTCGTAAATGGATCCGGGTACTGTATAATGATGCACACGGGCAGGGCCAAGTTGATGGCCACCTTTCAGATCGATATAAAATGACGACGTTGGTGAGGCAAGGGGACCCTTTAGCGGCTCCTATTTTCTTGTTTATAATGGAAGCTATTGCCTCGTTCCTCAGGAAAGGCCCTTCGATAGACCGTCTGATCGCTCATACGGATCAGCAGGGACATGTCACACATTTACCAACAACGATACTATTTGCGGACGATCTCACGGTATTAATTAGAGCAACGGATTCCTCATTTCAAGCCCTTACAAGAGCATTGGCGGCATTTCAGTTGGCATCGGAGATGAGAATCAATTGGCCAAAGGCGATGGGATGGTGGCCATCATATGACGACCAAGAACCATAGTATCAGCCACATAATTATGAAGGGATGACTTGGATACTGTCGGATCAGGCATTGAGATACTTGGGGATCAGAATGGCGGACACAGGTCCTCACCACTCCATGGCGCCATAACCGATGACAAAAATATTATTAAAGCTAGAGGCATGGTTGGAAATACATACCTCACTGTTCGGAAGGGCATTAGTCATAAATGCTTCCATCTTCTCTATGTTATGGTACGTGGGAACAATATGGTCACCACCTACATATACACTACAAAAATTGAGGAAGGTGGTGGCAGCGTATTTGTGGACAGCAAATCCAACGAGACCCATCTTTATATCTAAGGTAGTATGGAATCAAGTTATTCAACGAACGGACAAGGGAGGGTTGGGAGTATCGGATCCGGGGCAGCAGATAAGGGCTCTTCAAACTAAGTGGATCATGAAGTTGATAACACAGCCTCACCTTAGGTGGGTACCATTGGTACTTGACCACATACGACAGATGGCCAAATATAAAATGCCCTCCAATATGAAGGGGACATTCCGGCTATTCTGCAAGAGTTGGACTAAGAAGGATAGAACGGGAGAACAAGTAGCAGATGAAGACGGAACGAGGAGTACATATTGGGCTCAATTGCTCAAAATATGGGCGGAGGTCTTCCCGGCAAGAGTAAGACAACCAAAGACGAAGGATGAAGTGCTTAGACAACCGCTTTTTTGTAATCGATGGTTAAAAGACTCTCAAGGAAGACCTAGAACACTAACAGCAAAGGACGGCAAGTGGGGGAAGTGGTTAGAGCATGGGGTATGGCAGAACATCTCTGGTCTGTCAACAAGGGGAGATGGAAAACAGGGAGGGAGCTGAGGGTTCCGATGAAGGGCTGTCACAGACTAACTGAAAATCTGAATGACGTTCTTGTCTCGATCCCGGATGAGTGGACAAGGATATTGAAGGAACCAGACAAATGGAGATGGGGGGATTGGGCAACAATAACCTCTACTAATGAACCGGAGGCAGCCTTTCGCATACGACAGGAGGTGGGACCTTCTAACCACTGGGTGGAAGCAGATAAGTACACAAAGCAGATAAGTACACAATACTATCTTCAGCAGTCACGGTTAGTATGTTGGATAAGGAGTCGCGGGTTCCGATCGTCATTAAGAAAAGCACCTTAAGAAAGGTCGGAGTGGTGGAGAATGATGATTTTACGATATTTGAGCCACTGACATCCATTCGGGATTTGGAAATCGATCCAGCAGAGTGGCCATGGAACATCAAGGGAAGCTTGTCAAGAGTAACTAGGAAAATTAATGTACTTCAGCACACCACTAAATTGGGCTACCATCTAAGGGGGAGATCATGTCATTTAGATCACGTTTTGGCGATAAGATGGGAGAAGAGAGTGGATATACCAAGGGAACAGGGAGAAAAGTTACCATGGTCATCTTTGCACAGTATCAGATTGGCCAAGGTCAGGAGCATGCAGTGGCTCATCTTTCATGTAGCACTCCCGGTCAATGTCTGGTTGTTCGATAAGCGAAACAGGCTCAATAGGAACGACGCAGATCTAGACTGTGTTATGTGTAGGGGAGGCGTTCCGGAAACTCTGGTCCATTGCTTGCTCCATTGCCCGGAAGCAGAACATCTCTGGTCCTTAGCTCGTTCACTATGGACACACACTACAGAGGTCCCCTTCCTGCAAAACACGAAACTAATATTGACAGGAAGTGAGGAGCCTAAGGGGTGGAGGTCAGGTCACAAATTTATCGTTCAGCTGCTGAGATAGTACACTTTATGGACAATCTGGAAACGAAGATGTCAGCAAGTGGTGGGCAAGACTCCGATGACTAGAATGGAAGCCAAGGCAATTCTTTATAGCCTGTTGGAGACAGAGATTAGGGCGCTATGGAGAAGGACAAAGAAGCAAGTGGCTCTTAACCCAGAAAGGGCAAAGGATACCTTAACCAAATTCCGGAAAAGGGTACTAGCCCAGGGCAAAGTCGCGACTATGGAAGGAGAGAGACTTATCTTCCATTGGTTCAAAGAAGAGCACCACGAAGAGACTATAGATGATCAACCTTTGACACAGGAACTGAGGCTGCCATTTAAAAAAAAAAAAGGAAGAGGGCAAATGCAAAGACGGGAGGCCAAGAAAGTTCTACATAACATGTTGGAGATGGATTTTACGGCACAATGGCAAAGAGTAAGAAGATAATCCCAACAAAACCCGGAGAAAGACCGGGAGACGTTCAAAAGTTTCAGAGGGTTACGTTGGTTAAAGGTAAGATAGCAATAATCAAAGGATCCAGAGTAGTCTTTCACTGGTTTGGGAATACGGAGCAACGTGAGCAAGAATAGTGTGTCAGATTCCCTGAGGTAGTACACCAAGATTATGCCAGCATTGAAACTGAGGGTTTAGGGTTCAGGGTTTAAGGTTTACACAGGAGCAATGAAAATAGGGTTTGGGGTGTTGGGGATTTCGAGAGGGGTTCCGGGAGACTCTAGTTAGAACACAATTATCTGGCAGTTACAATACTGAGAGGAGTCCAACTGGAATCACAGGAATGATGGAAGCAGTAAAAACTCAGGCATAATTATGCAGGGGTGAGGGATGGTACATCCTTCCTTATGGAAGTAATCAATGCCGTCTACTCGGGCCTCCCAGCGATAATGGGGAGGAGCGTGTGTGATTTTCTTATGTATATATTATCGACTTGCCAAAAAAAAAAAAAAAAAAGGTCCCTACCTTGTGAAGCTGAGGCATCAGCATGTGACTTGTGTACCCTCTGTTTCAGCATGTGACTTGTGCACCCTTTGTTTCCTTCGTGGTACTAATTTACTACCCCTTCACTTATGTCTACCCGATGCAGGAAAAGACGGGGAGCAACAAGGGAAAGGAGGTGCTAGCGAAATGGAGTGAGATGCTGCCAAAGTTCTGGCAATTAGTCCCTCCGAGCGAGGAGGAGACGCCCGAGGCCAGCGTGAAGTACGGCGATGCCTTGGAAATCCCTGCCCTTGTAATGCCAGTGAAATCTTGAGAGCATGTTTGGGAGGATATGGTATTCCGGATGGCAATGGCGAAATCTGCCACATTTGGTAAGTCAAATCTCTCTGGAGTGGAAGCACAGTTGCTGTGGTGCTCTGGAAGGACAAGTTATGGTTAAGTGCCAAGTTCTCCGCACTCCACAAGCAATGGAAAGGTAATGGAAAGGTTGCTGGGGAGGCTGGGGCATTTTTTGGATGACGCACGGGGGAGAAATTTCCCATGAAATGATGGTCTGTGCTGTGCACGGCAGCTGTTGTCAGTCACCTTCGCCAATGTCTGATCTGCTCCAGGTTGAGTACATAAAAGACGACATGCGGGTGTTGGGCAGGCAGGTGCACGAATTGAAGATGGGTAGCTTACCCGCCGGCGAACTCGTGGTGGCATCGATGGTGTGGTGAATAGCACTGAATGCATGACATGGAGCCCGATGTCATGTTTCGCGTATTGTTGTTCGTTGTTTGAGATGTTTGTTGCCAGGGCGCGAGTGAAATGGATTATCGGTGACCCTAGAGTCGGTAAATGCAACAGGCAGCCAGTTGGCAGGGGTGGGGTGCGCATGTGCGGAATGATGGGTGGTTGCAGAGAGCTTGGCAGTCTTGGCCGCAAATTGGCAGTAATGGTTCATGAAATGCACCCATGGTATGGAGGAGTGCAGAGAAGAGGCATATGTATATTCATGGATGTGCTGTATGTGTCCATATAGTGAAAGGTGAAAAGTGGTCGTAGTTCACGGCAAGGTGCAACAGCCCCCTGAGCTGTGATGAGGCAGGCACGACCGGCCTGTAGCTGTGTTCTCTGCATTGCGGGATTACTATTGGAGAGGGAGAGGTCTGGACCAGGTTTACAGGTTCGAATGTTTGGCTGATGTGGAGTACCTGGCCATGCAGCATCGTATGGTGCTAAGAGGAAGGGTCTCAGCCAGTGGCAGGCGAAAGGGTTTCCTCTGGGACTATAACCTACGAACAGGTTCTGTCCGGCTGTAGGATAGTAACAGGAGAAGGCGAAGTGAGGAAAGACTGATAGCAGTAGCTCCACAAGGACACACATGGTTTCTCGCAGCGGCCATGACTCATGCATAAGTCATTGATGTCGGCGCTAAGGCAGTGGATCTTATGGCACTTGTACCTTGGTTTGGGTGGACGTGAAAGCCAAGTCATGCCGAAACCATGGTTTGGGGGGCAAGTAGGGGGTAGAGCGAAAGAGAGACAGAGACAGACAGACAGACAGACAGACAGACAGACAGACAGTGACAGAGGGCGGCACCTTCTGACTGTTTAGGTGTGTACTTGTAGTGTTGGTTGACATGTGATACAAGTCATGCCGAAACCATGGTTTGGGGGGCAAGTAGGGGGTAGAGCGAAAGAGAGACAGACAGACAGACAGACAGACAGACAGTGACAGAGGGCGGCACCTTCTGACTGTTTAGGTGTGTACTTGTAGTGTTGGTTGACATGTGATAGAAGGAAAAGGTGCTACTACTTCAAGCTTTCTTTGGTGGTGTTGTAAGCTCAAACTTGTAGCTCGCCAACTTCATGACTCGGGATTGCAATGGCAATTTGGCAAAATCCATTTGTGCTTTTGGTCAGAAGGAAGAAATGGCGACGTGGGAAACGAGGTAGTTTTCGTACTCTCGTAGGGAGGGATTTCGTCATGGGAATCTCATCTACAAGAATGATCATCATGATGGACTGGATTGTAAAGTGATGCGACTGCTTTGCTACGTGCAGCTCACGCTCATGCATTAATTTGCAGTCGGCGTTTAGTCCCCGTGATGAAGAGAGCTCACCGTCATGCATTTAATTTGCAGTTGAGGTTTTAAGTCCCCATGATGAATAGATGATGGTGGTCACTGTCCGGTGACTTCCATTTCACTTCAATACGTCAAGTTGTAGGGCTTTGCGTTTGAGGTTGAGTGCACCCACACACCCCCCCCGCCCCAACCATTATGATTTCTGGAATGGGTTGATGGGCTTCTTAGGCGAATGGTTGGGCTGGGTTTGCCTGGAGAATAGGGCACAGTTCCTGGCATAAAAAAGCGATCAAGGCTGGCACGGAGGTGAATGGTTGGGCTGGGTTTGCCTGGAGAACAGGGCACAGTTCCTGGCATAAAAAAACGATCAAGGCTGGCAGTGAGTTCCGTGCCAGCGTTGTATAGAATATAGTGAGGGAAAGCCAGCACACCAGCAATTCTCAGGCAATGGAGGTAGATGACTGGGCTTTCCCGGAGCAACGGCTAGGAGTTGGCCCGGCGTGCGCTGTTGCCCGGCGTGCGCTTTCGCTCGGCGTGCGCTGTAGCCTGGTGCGTTGTTGCACAGAGAATGGTGCACAGTTCTTGGCATAAAGGAAGGTTGGCAATCCATTTCATGTCGATGTTTGTGTAGAATAGCGAGGGAAGGGAGCATGTGAGCAATTATCGGGGGAGGGAAGGAGGGAGATCGCTGGGCTTTTCAGGAGCAAAATGGCAGTGAGTTGGGTGTGTGCAGTTCTCGTCTTCACACGTCCGACGGGCATTCGCTTAGGTCTGTATTACTAATGCCTTGGAAATTGGAAACCGATTAACAGGAGTGGAGGTCATGCCCACTCTTATTGCGTGTTCTTGCCACGTCTTTGAAAAATTTTCGGATTTCTTTCAGCAGCAGCGGAGTGTCGGGTGGGTGCAGCTCAACAGCAAAGAAAGCAGGCAACTCACTTGATTCACCCCACCCTACGAAAACATCGAGGTTAATGGTCGCTCTCTTGATGTTCTGTTATGGTTCTTTGGGCTCATCATGTTACGCTTTTCCCACCAGCTTAGCGTGTGTGCGATCTTGTTTTCTACCCGGCAAGACCCATGCAATGAAAATAATCAAGGACGAATCACCCGTGGTTACTCGCATGGCGACGCATGAAGCATTGTGCACAGTAGCCCCGCATTACTGCATCAAACATGCGAACGATTGAAGCCCGCACTCCCAGAAGAGAAAAGGTAAGCGGAACTGCATCGAGGTTCAGGAGTCGGAACCCCACCTTGCCAACCAGACGCACTGCGAGCCGCAGCAGTATCATCCCGCACCCGGAACCCAATCCGTGCCGATGCTCTGTGACTGCAGTGTATGAAAGCAAGCACTACAAGACGGAATAGTATTTTTTTTTGCAAAGAGTTCGCACTAGCTCCCTTTAGTTTCTCATCTCCCCTTTGAGGATGCAATTTAGGGGATATCGAAGAGCCAGTATGCCAAATGAAGTTTTGTCGGGGAATGTATCGCATCGTTTTTTCCTGGTACGAAGGGTATCTGAGGAAAACCCGTTTGCTTCTAACTGAATGCAAGAAGTCATGCAATGCCACCATTTCAAACGAGTAGGATCCTCAGAGGCTATATGCCCAGCAACCATTCTATCTCTCTGGTTGAAGATATAGTCCGATGCCATTAGGAAACTAGTGGTTGACCTCCATTCATGGTGACAAAATGAAATAAAAGCAAAACTAAACTAATAGTGAGTAGCATAAACAAAGCTGAACTAGTAAAAGAAAGATACAAGTTTCCAATATGAAAAGGAATCAATGGAATAATAGCAGTCTTAAAAACAAGAACAAAAACAAAAACGGAAACAAAAACAACAAAGAGTCTGCACTGTTAGATCCTCTTTTAAAAAATAATAATAAAAAAAATCTTGAGGGGTGGAGTAGGACAACCTGACTGACCCTGGTTGGTGGTGGTTTTGTGTATTGCCTTGGGCACTGGGGCCGGATAATTGGAAAGAAAAGAATAATAATAACTAGCTAAGTGCCCTCGGTGCGGGTGGCGCGCCCACAGAAATAACAAATGCAGTGGGTAACCTCACACTGCATTTCGGATGGCTCGCCTCCAAGATGTTTCTCTGCAGAAACAACGCTGGCCTACGGGGGGGGCACAAAACGAGAGCCGCGCGATAAATGCAAAAAGGAGGAAGGAAAGGGGAAAAAAAAAACAAAAGAAGAGGGGACACAAAACGACAGGCGTGAGAAATGGAAAAAGAAGGGGGACACAAAACGACGGCCAACCGGGGAAAAAAAAAAAAAAAAGCCCGCATATCGGATGGGTTGCCTTCAAGATGTTTGTCTGCATCAACGCTAGCCGTGTGCCCCACTCCTGGAGCGCGCGCTCTCCTTTAATGGCGCGCTGCTAACATTTCGGTATGCACACCCCTCTGCACACTCCCCCGCCCTCAATCGCCTTCATCCGCCCCTCTTCGACCTGAATCCGGCGTGCAGCGCGTCATGGACCTGTCCCCCGTGACCAATGCTGCTCAAGGGATATGATAAAATAATAATCATAATACTATAATAATAATAATAATAATAATAATAATAATAATAATGTAAAAATCTCAGGTTACTATTGGGGGTGATATGAGCATCCCTCAATAGTAGCCTTCGGGGTGGGCAGCATCGCCTGCTGGAAACCGGGTTCAGTGTCCCATCATCGACTGCTAGATGCTTTTGTGGTTTCATTTTTCCCTCGAAAACACGTCCTTAAGGTTCTGGCTACTTTTCCATTCTGGGGAACATCTGTCCCGTTCCGATTTCCCTGGCATGTCAAGTTCAATTCAACAATGAGTCAGATCGTTACACAGGATGTGGCCACAGCATAGAATGTGGCAATACATCATGGGTCTCTACTGACGCTGAGGTGTGAAAGCAGGGAGAGCAAACAGGATTAGATAGATCCGTCTGGGCTCTAACAAAACACGGCCAAAGGTGTCCTCTCTAACCGTAAGATTAGAGTGTACATCCAGCTATATCGGGAAAACATTCATTTACATTACTTGGATGCATCAATCCCAAGGTGTCTCCTCATATTGCGAATGATATGGCAACACCAAAGGACAAGAAAACACAATCCCTGTATTTCAATACAACAATCGATCAACGATTGATACAATCGGCTTTTCCATTTTTGGAACAGAAAATCACTCGTTGTATTTGGATTATACATTGGAATATGGAAGTTTTTCATACCATTCAACAATTGAAATTTTTTGTTTCTGTTACTTCATGAACGAATCTGCGATATTGCCACATTTTATGTTGTGGCCACATCATGTGTGACGATCTGACTCATTGTTGAATTCATCTTGACATGTCAGGGAAATGGAAATGGGACAGACCCGGTTTGCGGGAGGTGATGCTCCCCACCAATGGCAGAAGGCTACTATTGAGAGATGGTCATATCACCCCCAATAGTAGCCCGAGATGTTCAAACTACATCCTCCACAAAGAAGTCAAAATGGGCGGACTTAACAGCCATTTGCTCTAACCACTGAGCTACTAGAGACCTTTCTATTGTCATATTTTTTTGGTAGTGAACAATGTTGTATTTCAAACTACATCCTCCACAAAGAAGTCAAAATGGGCGTACTTAACAACATTTGCTCTAACCATTGAGCTACAAGAGACCTTTTTATTGTCGTATTTTTTTGGTAGTTTTTTGAAAATCTATCATATTTTGTTTTAAAAAATCTTGTTTTTTATCTTATTTTTTTCACTTGTAGTCTTATGCATGATACATATGCTATGTTACCACAAATGGATTGAAAAGTAGGTCTATGTAATTGATCAATACTTTGTAAACAAAATCTTTTGCTGCCTATATTTTGTTCAAAACCAAAGTGCATGATTTGAGTAATTTGTATCTTTTTTTGTATTGGATAAGATAACATCTTTGATCAAAATACAAACTCCTCCATGTGACAAAATCATATTCATTGGTGCAGAAGCCAGACATGTTACCGGGGGACATTTCCCTCTTCCCTTGCCGATCGAGACGTGTTACCCTGCCCCCTAATTGAAGTCCCAACTTGTGACGTTCAGTATACTCTCTCTTGGCTTCTCTCCTGTCACCCCAACGAAAACTTCAATTATTTGTATGATAAGCCATGTTAATACGCTACTTCGTCGATTCCAGATTCTTTTTTTATAACTCTCTGGTGATGGGGTTTGAACCAACAAGCTGTAGAGTTTTCTGTCAAATGTGGGTGAGTGATAGTCTGCTCTGATTTCCATCACAGGTGGATTGAGGGTAGTGGTTGGTGTCCACCTCAAGGTATCAGTTGTTGATGCTTAACCACAACCGGATTTAAGGTGGATTATCACTCACAGTGTAATCAATTAGGGGACTCTACAGATTGTTGAGGGTTGAGCATCGTGATGAGTCAGTGGACTCCAACGAAACAATTTATCACAGCCCCTCGTTTGTTGTCCTCTTCTCCCTCTCCTTTTGCTCTAGATTTTTATAAAGATATTGCTTCATTAAATAAATCTTCCAATTTGTGTTTTCATGGTCCCAATCAAGTTGCTAAATGCCAAACGAGTCCAACATGGAGTGGGCAGGTAGGGGGAGGACTTCAGGGTTTGTACCCTTTCAGGATGCTTAACAATTTTAAACTGTATTTGACAGAGAGGATGCAGGGGAGTGTTGTCATCGTCTTTAGTGTCTGCACTGCTTCAAGATGCATGATTTTCAGGAACAATAGCCAGAGGCGCTGGGTAGATGCTTTTAGGTCGTTTAGGGTTTTCACTGGAATCGATCACTAAGAAAAAGAGAAAAGAACGATGATTTTTTATATAGGTTTTTATTGAAGGTGTTTTTTACCCTTTCAGGATGCTTAAAAAATTTTAAACCGTATTTGACAGAGAAGGTGCAGGGGAGTGTTGTCATCGTCTTTAGTGTCTTCCCTGATTCAGGATGCATGATTTTCAAGATCAATAGCCAAAGGGGTTGGGTAGATGCTTTTAGGGCGTTTAGGGTTTTCACTAGAATCGGTCACTAAGAAAAAGAGAATTAATACGTTTTGATTCTATTAAGAAAAGAACATATTGATGAAACAAGCAAAATGCGAACAGTTAACAAAGTATAATCATAAATCTTCGGGTGTTTATGTGGGGTGGATCCCTTATCTGGGGCGCTTACACAGTAATGTTAAAGGCAAATTTGGTTGTGTGTTGAAACCTCCGCCGAGTATCCAATAATGAATTCGTCGGTGCGGACAAGCAGCAGGGAAGGAGGTCTAAGACCGTAAAGCCTCAACGGCTGTACGTGGGTCTGTGCATGTTTTCTGTCATATGTTTTGCGTTTTTTTTTTTGGTTTCTCACTCTGGCTCAACGAAGATACCATAGGTACCAGTTCATATTTGGTTACCTGAAGCTCATGTAGAAACACCCACTGCTCGATATGTTATCTTGAAGTGTACATCGGAGACTGATTCTCCGCCGGACCCCTATCAAGGAGTTTGTAGAACAACATAAGAAGTATGGATTTGTAAGACACACTTACAAAAGCGACGAAAAGTTGAAGGCGTTCTCGGATTTTCTTGGTAGAGGATCGCCTGTAGAATTTGATATACCCGTAGGTACACGGGGAGATTGTTATAATCGTTATTTTGTCTGCATTAAAGAAATGTCAAAATTTTCTTGA